AGGAGGAGGAGGAGGATGGCGGTGGCTCGCGATCTCTCGGGGCGCGGACTCACCCCGCTCAGCGCAAAACTGGATCAACCCATCTAGAAACACTGCGCTGCCATTTTTTGGTGGCCTTACCAAGCCCGGCTCAGCCAATATGCAAGGCCACCTCCAGGGTTGGGTCGGGCATGTCCCCCTACAAGCGGATTTTGGGCGACAAATTAACAAGATACGCCCCACAATGCTTCAAAATAGTTTAAGAATGCCCCCAAAATCGTCCCCAGACTTTATTTTTGGACTATTTTTGAATTTGCCTCCTGTAGAGTTAGGTCGGGCCTGTCCACCTACAGGGGCATTGTGGACGAAAAGTTGAAAACATACATGAAAAAATCAAAAGGTCATCAAACATACAGAAAAAGTCCCCAAACTATTTTTCCGCATGCCCAAAGGATGGGGTTCTTGTTATTCCCCACATGGTTCGTGGGGTTATGGTATCCCTGCCGCGTCGCGCCCGCGATCCTCACTCACCTCCCCTCCTCCTCCTTCTCCTTCTCACACAGCGCAGCACAGCTCAGCACAGCACAGCTTAGCTCAGCACAGCTCAGCATAGCACCTCAGCACAGCAAAGCTCAGCTCAGCTCAGCACAACGGTCGTCCAGGGCACAGCAAGCGTGGGGTTCTGTCGACAGCAAAGGGGGTGCGCAGGGAGTGGTCCCCGAGCGCGGCGTCTATGCGGGCCATGGCGGAGGGCAGAACAGGCGCGGCGCTTTCTCGACACCACAGGGGGTGCGCAGGGGGTGGTCCCCGAGTTCGGCGTCTATGCGGGCCATGGCGCAGGGCATAGCAGGCGTGGCATTTCCTCAGCACCAGAGGGGGTGCGCAAGGAGGTGGTCCCTGAGTGCGGCGTCTATGCGGGCCATGGCGCAGGGCATAGTAGGCGTGGCACTTTCTCGACACCATAAGGGGGTGCGCAGGGGGTGGTCCCCGAACGCGGCGTCTATGCGGGCCATGGCGCAGGACATAGCAGGCGTGGCATTTCCTCGGCACCATAGGGGGTGGTCGTCTATGCGGGCCATGGCGCAGGGCATAGCAGGCGTGGTACTTTCTCGACACCATAGGGGTGCGCAAGGGGGTGGTCCCTGAGTGCGGCGCTTATGCGGGCCATGGCGCAGGGCATAGCAGGCGTGGCAATTTCTCGACACCAAAAGGGGGCGAGCAAGGGGGTAAGTCCAGGAGCGCGGCGTCTATGCGGGAATGGCTGCAGGGAATAGCAGGAGTGGTATTTTGGCATTTTATCGACACATTAGGGGGTGAGAAGGGGGTGGTCCCGAGCGCGGAAGTCTTTGCGGGCCCAGGGCAGCGTGCGCTTTCTCAGGACACCCAGAAGGGGTGCGCTTGGGGTGGCCTAGCGCGGCCGTCTAATGCGGGGCCATGTCGCAAGGATAGCAGGCCGGGGCACTTTCTCGACACCATAGGGGGTGCGCAGGGGGTGTGCCCGAGCGCGGCGTCTATGCGGGCCATGGCGCAGGGCATAGCAGGCGTGGTACCTTCTCGACACCATAGGGGTGCGCAAGGGGGTGGTCCCTGAGTGCGGCGCTTATGCGGGCCATGGCGCAGGGCATAGCAGGCGTGGCACTTTCTCGACACCATAAGGGGGTGCGCAAGGGGGTGGTTCCCGAGCGCGGCGTCTATGCGGGCCATGGCGCAGGGCATAGCAGGCGTGGTACTTTCTCGACACCATAGGGGGTGCGCAGGGGGTGGTCCCCGAGCGCGGCGTCTTTGCGGGCCATGGGCAGGCGTGGCACTTTCTCGACACCATAGGGGGTGCGCAGGGGGTGTGCCCGAGCGCGGCGTCTATGCGTGCCATGGCGCAGAGCACAGCAGGCGCGGCGCTTACCCGACGCCAGAGGGGGTGCGCAGGAACTGGTCCCCGAGCGCGGCCGCTATCCGTGCTGGTCGTCCACGGCATAGCAGGAGTGGCACTTTCCCGACACCATAGAGGGTGCGCAGGCGGTGGTCCCTGATCGCGGCCGCTATCCGTGCAGGTCGTCCAGGGCATAGCAGGAGTGGCACTTTCCCGACACCACAGGGGGTGCGCAAGGGGTTGTCCCTGAGCGCGGTCGCTATCCGTGCCGGTCGTCCAGGGCGTTGCTGTCCGTGACGGTTGTCCAGGGCATAGCAGGCATGGCATATTCTCGACACCGCAGGGGGTGCGCACAGGGGTAGTCCTTGAGCGCGGCCTCTATCCATGACGGTGGTGCTCAAGGCACATCGGTACGCAAATTTGCTATCCATGCCGGTCGTGCTCAGGGCAAAAGGGATCGCTGGCGGAGCAGGCGTGGCATATTCTCATAACCGTAGGGGGTCTGGTGTTGGTCTCTGAGCGCGGCCGCTATCCAATCTGGTCGTCCAGGGCGCAACAGGCGTGGCACTTTCTCGACACCATAGGGGGTGCGCAGGGAATGACCACCAACATCATTCTCACATGCTTCACCTCAGCTATCATCGCTCCAGCCATAACATAAGTATGTGGGGTTCCTCGGTAGCGTAATTCTCCGACCGCGCCGGACCAAGAGAATCCCTCCCCTCCTCCCTCTCTGCACTAGACAATGATGATGATTGTCATGATGATGACCATGGTATGGTGAGAGCATGATGTGATTCTGATGGTAATGATGAGTGATGAATGATGAAGGATGAATGATGGATGATGATGACGATGAGCAGATGATGCGGATGTCTCGAGCGGCTTGCTGGTTTTAGCACTCCTATGGGGGGGCCGCCAGGGGTATTGCACGGCCTCCGTTCGCGCCCAAATGGCGGGGATGTCTCAGGCGGTTTGCCTGCTTTGGTCCTCAACATCTTCCGCTTTCGGAGCAGATTCTGAGGATGTCTCAGGCGAGGCGCTGGTTTTCGCACCCCAGGGGGGGTAGATTTCGAGGATGTCTCAAGCGATTTGTATGTTTTCGTGGTCAGACTCGTCTGTTGTCAGAGCAGATTCTGAGGATGTCTCAGGCGAGGCGCTGGTTTTCGCACCCCAGGGGGGTTAGATTTCGAGGATATCTCAAGCGGTTTGTGTGTTTTGGTGGTCAGACTCGTCTGTTGTCAAAGCAGATTCTGAGGATGTCTATGGCGAGGCGCTGATTTCCGCACTCCCAGAGGGCCAAGATTGCGAGGATGTCCTAGACTCACTTATGCTCACTCGTGCTCAGGCTCACTCATACTCAGACTCGCACTCATCATACTCATACTCAGACTCACTCACACTCAGACTTACGAACACTCAGACTCACTCACACTTAGACCCACCCACCCTCAGACTCATTCGTAGTCAGACTGACTCGTACTCAGACCCACTCAGGGCCAGTTTCGTATCCATGATACTCATACTCAGACGCACTCACATTCAGATTTTCTCACGCTCAGAATCACTTACACTCAGACCCACCCACCTTCAGATTCACTCGTAGTCAAACTCACTCGTACTCAGACCCATTCAGACTTAGACTCGTACTCACTATACTCATACTCAGACTCGCTGGCTTTCGCACCCCAGGGGAGCAGATTGCGAGGATGCCCCAGACTCGCTTGTGCTCAGACTAGTACTCATCGTACTCATACTCAGACCCACTCGCACCCAGTCCATGCAAAATGGGGAGCTCCACGCAGTGAATGCCAAGAGTTGAGCTGGGGGTCCCAACGACGGTGCGGTGACAAGCCGTGGCGTTCAGCCGGGCGTGTCCCCCTACAGGGGGATTTTCGACGAAAAATGCAAAATACTCAACAAATACTCCAAAATGATCCAACAATACTCCAAAAATGGTCCCCAAACTATTTCTTTACTATTTTTGAATATTCCCCCTGCAGACGCCTCTGTAGGGATCCTAGCGGATTCATATGGTTAGGTTAGGTTTGCCGCCGATTTTCGCCGCACGCCCGGGTGCCCACGTGCCCGGGGGTGCCCGGGGGTGCCCGGGTGCCCGGGGGTGCCCGGGTGCCCGGGTGCCTGGAGGTGCCCGGAGGTGCCCAGGGGTGCCCGGAGGTGCCCCCGGGTGCCTGAGTGCCCCGGGGTGCCCGGGTGCTCTATCGCCCTATATTCCTATAGCTCTATAGCCCTATATCCCTATAGACCTATAGACCTATAGCCCTACAGCCCTATAGCCCTATAGCCCTATAGCCCTAATAGCCTAATAGCCCTATAGCCCTATAGTCCTTATGCCCTATAGCCCAATCGCCCTATAGCCCTATAGCCCTTATAGGTAGCCCTACAGCCCTATGTTGCTATAGCCCTATAGTCCTGTAGCCCTAGCCCTATGGTCCTATCACCGTATAGCCCCATAGCCCTACAGCCCTAAACATATTACGATTGGGTTTTTTCTCCGTTATCATTCCCCCTGCAGAGGGACAGGCCCGACTTGACTGTAGAGGGACAGGCCTGACTTACCTCCAGGGCCGCGAGTGGCTCCCGAGTCTGGCTCGGCCCACATCTGGCTCTGCAGGATCCTGCAGGACCCGGCGTTCCCGCCGAGCCCCCGTGGCGCGGAGGGCTCGGCTCTTCGCTACCCGCCGGCTGCCTTTTCCGAGGAGGAGCAGCCCCTCCCCTAACCAGGTACCTGGTGCCCCAGCCGTACCCGAGTGCTCGGCTCTTCGCTACCCGCCGGCTGCCTTCTCCGAGGAGGAGCAGCCTCTCCCCTAACCAGGTACCTGGTGCCCCAGCTATACCCGAGTCGCTCCTCCTCCTCCTCCTCCTCCTCCTCCTCCTCCTCCTCCTCGTCCTCCTCCTCCTCCGCTTCATCCTCCTTAATCCTGCCCTAACGCAGTCTACCTCCTCCTCATCCTCCTCCTCCCCTCCGCCTCATACCTCCTCCCTATTCCTCCTCCTCCTCCTCCTCCTCCTCCTCCTCCTCCTCCTCCTCCTCCTCCTCCTCCTCCTCCACCCGCCGGCTGACTTTTCCGAGGGGCTGCAGCCTCCCCCCGTGGCGCCGCCCCTGCGCGGGCGCGCGCGCGCCTCCCCCCGCTCACGCCACCAGCGTGGACGCCGTGGCGGACACGTACCTCCAGGTGGCCGGGAGCGACTTGACGCGCTTGTAGTACCTCACGGCTCGCCGCCGCTCCGACGCCCGTGCCCCGTGTTATTTTTTCGGCCTCGTGCGCGCACCTCTTCGCAAGAGGACCTCGGCTGCTCCTCGGCTGGTCATCGCCGAGACTCGGCGGTGGGCAAAACCTCCCGTCAGCAAACCTCCCCACGGCCTGGGACCGAAGCCGACGGACATGGACCCGCAAAAATGACGGCCGCGACGCCCCCTCGCGAACCGGAAAAGGCCAACTCCTTAATCGACGCGTCAGGGTAGGAGGTCTATCCACCTCCGATTCTTCTTCGAGGAGACACAGTGGCGAGGCCTCGAGGGGGTACAGTGGCCAGGCCTCGACGGCACCTCGCCGACAGGTCGGCGACGACGAGCCCCCCCCCCCCCCCCGAGGCGGAGCCCTCGCCTTTCTCTCTGGGCCGGTTGGGGCACCCCTTTCTTCGAGGAGGGCGAGGAGGGCGAGGAGGAGGAGGAGGAGGACGAGGAGGAGGGAGGAGGAGGAGGAGGAGGAGGAGGAGGAGGAGGAGGAGGAGGGAGGAGGAGGAGGAGGAGGGAGGAGGAGGAGGCGGAGGAGGAGGAGGAGGAGGAGAGGAGGAGGAGGAGGAGGAGGAGTGAGGAGGAGGAGGAGGAGGCGGAGGAGGAGGAGGAGGAGGAGGAGGAGGAGGAGGAGGGTCTGGCCTCGAGGGGGCGCAGCGGCCAGGCCTCGACGGCACCTCGCCGACGGATCTGCGACGGGCACCCGGGGGGCGGAGCCCTCGCCTCTCTCTCGGGGCCTGTGGGGGCTCCCCCCCGGGCCGGGCCCCCCGCGGTCGGCAAGCCGCGGGGGCCATCGGGGGTCCATGCGCTCCTCCCCCTCGCCGGGGGTCGACGCTCTGCGCCCCCCTCGCCTCGCCCCCCGGAAGAGCACTCGAGGCCCCTCCCCCCCCCCAGGATGCACGCGAGCATCCGACTACCTACCAGACCACCCCGACCCAACCCGAAGACCCGAAGTTCGGGCTGGGGGGGGGGGTATGGGCTTCACATATGTGTTTTTCCATGTTCCCCGACCCCCCCCCCACTGGAAATGGAGGGCCAATCGGGGCCGTCGGGTTGGGTTGGGGTGGTTTGGTGGGCGGTGGGCATCCAGCGAGAGCGCGAGGAGCACTCGGGTGCTTAGCTGCCCCGATACGCAACACGCAACACGTAGCGCATTGATACGGAGCTCAGCACGCAGGCTGAGGACGCAGGTCCGACGCGATACACTCGCCAAAACGTGGTCCAATACGCGGAGCAACACGCAGCGTATTGGCACGGACGTCCTGAACACGGGACGTATTGCGTATCAAAACGGGCGCATCGAGGAGGAGGGAGGAGGGAGGAGGAAGAGGAGGAGGAGGAGGAGGACGTCCTGAACACGGGACGCATTGCGTATCAAAACGGGCGCATCGAGGCAACTAAGCTCGGGTGCCCTCCCCGAAGCGACCTCGCTCGCTCCAGACCGCGGCGGCCCCGCGCGGCCCCGCCATGCCCCCTCTGTGTGCGCGCGCCCGGGGGGGTGCGGGAGGGTGCCCCCCTGCCGGCTCTCGGCGCCCCCGAGGAAGCCCCGGGAGCCCGGCAGAGGCCTCCGACCGAGTCGACCGAGATCTAGGGCTCCCAATTTCGCGCGCTCGCGCTCCGCGAAGCGCGAACAATTTCGCGCTCTCGCGCCGCCCCCTCACAGGGAGAAAAGGAGGACGAGGAGGAGGGGGAGAAGGAACGAGGACCGCGAAGCGCGAATAACTTCGCGCCCTCGAGGGCGCCCTTGGAGATGGACCCCAAACTTCGTCTGGCTCTCGGGTCATAGCTCGAGGTCGGGCGTGTCCCCCCACGGTGGCGGATCTTGGGCGAAAAATGAAGAGAAGATGCCCCAACCTGCTCACACATATTCCGAAACATGAAGGAGAAATCGTCCCCGGACTGTTTTGGCCATCTTGGAATATTCTCCCTGTGGAGGGACGTGACCGACTGAATCATAGCTGGGATCTCTGGCGGCCGCTCGGGACGATCTGGGCACCCGTGGCTACGCTCTCGGCGAGGCGCAGCTGCCGGAGAGTGCCCCGAGGGCTGGAAGAGCCGCCGCAAACCGACGAGGCCGCCCGAGAAGCGGCGAAGGCGCCCCTTGAACTAGGTCAGGCATGTCCCCCTACAGGCATATTCTGGAGGAGAAATAACAAATACCCCAAACATGCAAAACAAAAAACAAATCAACAAAAAAACAAACAAATATCAAACACAATCAAAACATCATCCCCCGACTATCTTTGGCTACTTTTGAATATTCCTCCTGTAGAGGGACACGCAAAACTTAACCCTTGAACCTGGCCAGGCGGTGGATCCTGCTCTCCACGAGGATCAGGCGGAACTTGGAGTCCTTGTCCTTGCGGTTCTTGTCCAGGTGCTTGCGGATCGCGACGGCCTTCTTGATGAGGTAGTAGAGGTCCTCGGGCAGCTCCGGCGCCATCCCGTTCAGCTTGAGGATCCGCAGGATCTTGTTCCCAGAGACGTACCTCACCTGCGGCACCCCAAAGCTGTCGCGCAGGGTCACTCCGATCTGGGATGGCGTCAGGCCCTTCTTGGCGAGCTTGCAGATGTGATCCACGACGTCCTCTGCAGAGCAAACGCCGACACGAACTTTTTTGATATGCGGGTCGAGAGCGCACCTCTTCCGGTCGAAGCCAAGCGGGCCGCGCGAAGCTTGAATTAACAGAGAAGGGGGGACAGAGGGAGAGGCCTCACGGCAAGGCCAGGAGGAGGCAAAGCCCCGGGATCAGGCGGTGCCAAAGACGACGTGCTTGCAAAGGAACGCCTTGTACACCTTCAGATGCTCATTCTGGGGACCTTCCTGGAGCTACCCGCTCCACTCGTGCGTCGAACCTGAGTCGAACCTGAGTCGAACCTGAGTCGATCCTGAGTCGAATCTGAGTCGAACCTGAGTCGAACCTGAGTCGACCTCCTCCTCCCTCTCCTCCTCCTCCTCCTCCTCCTCCTCCTCCTCCTCCTCCTCAGGCTACTGACGCTCCTCCTCCTCCTCCTCCTCATCCTGAGTCGAACAGATCCGAAGGTCCCCCCAACCGAGCATCGAATACAAACAGAACCCTTCGGAGGTCCGCGCCGACTGCTCAGGGCGGCGCAGGGTGCCTCTTCCCCTGGCGCGCGGAGCGCGCCCGGAGGGTGCCGCCGAGGGGGTGCCTGCGCCGCTGGACCTCGGAAAGCACCAGCGGGGGAGGAGGAGGAGGAGGAGGAGGGGGAGGAGGAGGAGGAGGAGGAGGGGAGGGGGAGGAGGAGGAGGAGAGGGAGGAGGAGGAGGAAGAGGAGGAGGAGGAGGAGGAGGAGGAGGAGGAGGAGGAGGGGGAGGAGGAAGAGGACCTTGCAAGGGATGCCCAAACAGAAACACATGCCAACATCTGGCCTAACCACGGAAAACTCAAATTGCAAATCTAGGGTTGGTCTTACACTGGAGGCCAGTCCACAAGAAACCTTTCACATGAAGCCCAAGCCTGAGACCCCAGAACGTTCATTTTTTTTGCCTGGGAACGTCGCGCTTTCCATCGCAAAACCCTCGAAACCCAAGAAACCCAGGGCACCCTGGAGGCAAGCAGGGTGTTTCTTGGCATGGGCCCCCACTGTAACCCTCGTGCCAGCTGCATGCCTTCTTTTCTCGCTCGAAGTCCTCGGACTTCATCTTCAGCCACGTGGGCGGCCTGCGGCGGTACGGCGCCGCCGAGGAGGAGATGCCCTTGCCCTTGCCGTACATGCGGCCCATGGCTGCAGAGATGGGACCGCCTCCCTGGCGCGGCTGGATCGTCGGAGGCTGCAAAGATATCCCGCTTGACCAAAGTGGCTACGGGTGGGAGAAGGAGGAGGAGGAAGAGGAGGAGGAGGAGGAGGAGAAAGAGGAGGACGAGGAGGAAAAGGAGGATAACGAGGAAATAGAGGAGGAGGAGGAATCTCACTGCCCACAGTCGGCTCAGCCTGAGCTTGGCATTGGCGGCGGGTCCCTTAGCCATGGTAGCCGCCATATCTTCCAGGGCAAGAGGAAGACTTCCGATTGGTGGAGGGTTACCATAGAGCAGAGGCGTCGCCAGAGAGCAGGGGACACATCGGACCCGATGTGGAGGGAGGAAGGAAGGCGAGGAGGCCCAGGAGGAGAAGGAAAAGGATCAGCTTTTTTAACTCGGCGAGTGGGGCTGCATGCCGAGAAGCATGAATACAGACGCGTGGCTTAGCCCGTCGCAAGATCGTGGGCTCAACAGAGGCGCGCCACACAAAATCAGGGTAAAGTGGCAGGCCTCCTCGAGCCGCGACGGCCGCGGCGGGCGGCACACCTCAATGGATGGGGGGTCGGGGAACGTGCTTTTCGACTCTGGCACCATCTCCATCACGCCGATGTCGTACGTTAAGTGCCAGCCATCATGTCTTAGAGCATTCACACTGGACACCCGCACATGCCAATCATCATACTGAATGTGAGCACGCGGCTCCAATAATACATCTTGGTGGCCCGCTCCACCCAAGACTACCTGCACCAATGTACTGCCACTTTACAACATAGAGTCCAGTCCAGACAATCGTTGACGATCAGGACGCAGTAATTTCCAGCCATGTGTAGCAGCGGCCTGGCGACGATCAGACCAAACATGTACCTGGACCGTTATCAACATCCGCCAGAAACCCATGTCCGAACGCATCCGCGACAGCAGAGCGGGCAACCGAATCACTCGTCAAAGCGTCACATCTCAGATTTTGAATATCACATCTAAGGAGACGAATGACAGCGCCGCAGTCCAACCTGTCTCTAATGGCCCGCACCGCGCATACAGCTGGCTCTTATCGTTCGGCGCGGTGGTGTCTTCAGCAGTAACTGCCGAGTACACAGCATGAGCATAGCCAGCCGCATACAGACCTCACCAATCGAGTTAAACTTCGGAGCTCGCAGCCTCTTGCAGTTCAGCAGCACCGCGCGACTCTGTAAGAACCTGATGCCAGAAACCGCGATGCATCATTCCCATCTCCGAGGCGACCAACTGGCTAGTCACCTCCGCGCCAAATGTGGTTATGGTTGCTCGCGTCTGCTTCTGCTGTAGTAGTCTACCACGTGCATGCGGCCACCAAGTATTCCATCGCGACCCTCGACCAGGACTTGTATAGGAGCCCTCAACGCCAAGCAATCATCAGCAGTAGCGCGGTAAGCAGAGTCTGCGATCGCGCGCAGGCCCGCCGGAAGCTCCAACTCGGTGTACATATTACAGAAAGGTTTCCGCTTGATCCATATGAGAAGCGCGCTGGATTCCTTCGCATCCGTGATAGTGACCTTCTGAATATGTCGCTGGAACCGTGCAACAAAAACTGCCATGCCAGCTCGAATCCAAGTCAACCAAGCAACTCCGCCAAACAAGCTCCAGCGCATGCCTTGCAACACACATTGTCAACAACATCATCATCGGACTGGCCCGTGTATCGCGAAGAAAGAATAGTCCGCAACTGAGACACATACTGATTCTGATCAATGGAAAAAGGCGCAGGTCTTGTCATCCTGCGCATGATGAGTACCCGCGCGCTCACAAGGCGGCATATTCAAAGCGACGTCTTCATGCTTGTCGCGGAACTTCTGCAAGATCTACTCTCTGGTTTCGTCATCGCAGGCGCCCGTGAGATCGTTCGCATGAGCGGCCAGTGCGGCGACGAGAGCCCCGGCGCGAAACGACATTCATAATTGGCGATCTGCCCCCCAGGGAAGGAAGCCAAATTCAACCAGCGCATATGAAAGATTAACCTGCCAAGCCCATCGGGCATCATTGGTGCCGGAACCAAGCTTGCGCGCGTTCGACGTCTCAGTCACCTCATTGAATCCTCGATCTGCTTCAACAGTGCAGCTCCATCTGGAGGTGGATCAAACTGCAGGCCGCGCAACTTGAAACCGCGCCGCTCGGCCAGCTCTTCGAACGTCATGCCGCGCAAGAAGGCCATCGACACATCGAGCGGCCAGGACTTCCATCCTTGCTGAGCGGCGATAGGGCATGTGGCTCGCTGATCCCATCTAGACGCAGCGTCGGCAACCGCCCTCGTGTGGTCCTTCTCGTGATTCCGTCTACCTTTGAAGCCGCGCGCAGTGAGGCGTCCTTTGATCCAGCGAGAGCCGATGCGATTGTCTGCGTCCTTCTTCTTCGTTCGCGCCACAACTCCACGATATACCCATCTCTCATCCCTTCAGCTTGGCAGCCACTACCAAGTCATGATGTTGTTCAGCCTCGGCAGCTGACGAGATGTTGACCGCCCCCTCGATGACCGGGGCGACCTCCGTCGCGTGCGCACAGACCGCCATCGCCTGCCCCTTCTGCAACTTCTGCTCGGTAAGTCCCAATCGCCGCGCCTGTCGACGAGAAACTTCGAGTCCCGCGTGACCCTCAGGATCTTCAGGGCTGAACTCCACGGCCGGGCCTTGACCGCCAAAGTAGGCGAGAGTGGCTGATGGCGAACCGCTGCCGTCATGCACCGATCCCCAGTGCAGGTCTTCTTCGTCCGCATCGTCGTGATCAGCATCTGCGGCGGGGGCCTCGCTCGCGGCAAAACTAGCTCCATCATCCGCGAGTGGGACGCAAGGTACAACATGGGGGGGCAATCTTACCATTACCTTGTGAGTCTATCGACCCCTGGCGCCTATGATCTCAATGGCGTTCTGCTGGCCAGTGCGACGAGCCTCAGCCAGCGGACCTTCAGAGAAATCATCTTTACGAGGTCGTCTGATGGCGAGAAGCCGAACACGAGGAGGAACCGCGCTCTCACCAGGATCGACATGCTCGTGCATGTGCCCCAGGTGTGGTACGCCAGGCATGGAATTCCTGGCATGCTCCACGCGCTCCATAGCGATGACGAGGAACTGAACAAACACTGTGTCCTTCCAGCCGCCACCGAACAAGTCTTCAGTCGTGCGTCGCGGCGTGCCCACGGCCTGTTGCCACTTCCAACCAATGAAGTTTCAAACGCGCCAGTGCGCAATCGGCGTCTCTCGTCCAAGCCCTCCGCGCACTCAAGAGCCCGGGCGTCGCGACCCAGTCGACCTCCAAAAAAACTTTTAATCCGCCGGCCCCCTTGCGGGGCCACCAGGCTGTAGGACCGTGATTCGCAGTTTCCTGCGCCAGTTGTAGCTTGTAGTTTCCAGTGTTACAGTTCTGCTTCTTGCTGGTTACTGCAACTAATTGATTGACCGCGCGAGGGGGGGGGGGGCCCAAACGGGATTTTTAGCACCCCCTGGGCGCGTTGTCTGAATAGCTGGGGGGGCTCGAAATCGACACCCCTCACGCAGATCCGCGGGGCCAGGGTCCAAAAACACAAGGGATTTGCCACATGTTTGAAATTCGGTGCCACCCCTCGCGCAGATCCGCGGGGCCAGGGTCCAAAAACACAAGGGATTTGCCACATTTCTGAAATTCGGTGCCACCCCTCACGCAGATGCGCGGGGTCAGGGTCCAAAAACAAATGGGATGTGCTACATTTCTGAAATTCGGTGCCACCCCTCGCGCAGATCCGCGGGGTCAGGGTCCAAAAACACAAGGGATTTGCCACATTTCTAAAATTCGGTGCCACCCCTCGCGCAGATCCGCGGGGTCAGGGTCCAAAAACAAATGGGATTTGCTACATTTCTGAAATCCGGCGCCACCCCTCACGCAGATCCGCGGGGTCAGGGTCCAAAAACACAAGGGATTTGCCACATGTTTGAAATTCGGCGCCACCCCTCACGCAGATCCGCGGGGTCAGGGTCCAAAATCACAAGGGATTTACCGCATTTCTGAAATTCGGTGCCACCCCTCGCGCAGATCCGCGGGGTCAGGGTCCAATGACAAATGGGATTTGCCACATTTCTGAAATTCGGTGCCAACCCTCACGCAGATCCGCGGGGTCAGGGTCCAAAAACACAAGGGATTTGCCACATTTCTGAAATTCGGTGCCACCCCTCACGCAGATCCGCGGGGCCAGGGTCCCAAAACACAAAGGATTTGCCACATTTCTGAAATTCGGTGCCACCCCTCACGCACATCAATCGCAAGGCGTGGCAGCCCAAACTGCGAGTACTCCCTCGGCCCTTTAATCCCAAGGTGTGGTAACCAAGCTCGTAAACCATGCACGTCTTACCAATCGCCCTGCGTGGTAGCCCCTCTTGAGATCAGTTGGTTTTGCCGATTGCGAATCGGCCTCGCGTGAAGTTCCGATACTGCTGCACGACAGCGGCAAAGCCTCATGACTTAGCTCTTCCATGGCCCATTCTCCGAGAGAGGGGGCCGGCGGCAGGGGGCGAAGCCCTTGCGGATTTTGCAGGTCACGCGCACCCACGTGAAACACAGCGCGACAAATTATGGGATACTTCGCGCACTGTCTGGCCAACTTCCAATCATGAGAGGTATTGACACAAGCTAAGGTCACCAATCCCTTGTCGATGCTGCCGGCGAAGCTCTGAAGCAGCGTCATGGGCACTTCCCAGTAGTGTCGAACATGCTCAGACGATACCATCGCGGCCACGGACAGTTCATATCGCACATCTGCGAGGCGGCAGCTCATAGTTCTCGACTGCCACGGAACGTCTACAAGACCTTCACCGATACGGCTCGCATTGGCCACAGTAGACCCTTCCAACCTGTCGTTACTGGGCGGCGACCTCCAAATATCAACGACATCTCCCACTTGCAGATTCTGACACTGCCCGACAGGGCGGATGCGACACTGCAACGCCCTAGCCACTCGCTGCGAAACAATGGCTTGGATTACATTGGCCAATGCAGCTTCGCGAAGCCGGTGTGCATGACGGAAAATTCCATGTCGTCATCCTGATATTGTAAGGCTGCGGTTGATGCCGGTTCCAGATTAAGTAGAATCGGATGGTACGTCCGAGTACGGCTTCACGGAGTCGCATTACCAATCACAGCGATCATACAGTTCTTGGCCAGCACACACTCATCAATAATAGCCACATCTGTCACCAACAGGGCATCGCGAGCAAGCTTTTCGTCAACCAGATGATATTGTCCACGCAGCAGTTCATTGTGTTGTTCTACCATTCGAACATGCGCACCACGAGGCCGAAAATCAAGTTTGATATTCCATCTCGAAGCCCACGATCGCGCAAAGTCGCTATCCAACGTCCCCTCGTGATCTGAAGTCAATACCGACGGCGGACCAACGACTCTGATCCAATAGTGGGTGATGGCGTTCAGGACTTCAGTGGTCGTCATGTCAGCCAAAATCGCAGCAACCGAAAATAACACCAAAGTGCAAAGCATGTGAATCACTACCAGGCTCTTCCAGAACAGTAGATCCACCTGAACGTCTTGGTTGAATGCGGTGATCACCCGGCTGGTAGCTATGGGTCTCTTGCCCGGTCAAGCAGGGAAGGTGTCGCGTACCACCTGAATCAGGTTAATGTTGAGGAGCGCTCGCAAAAATCATCATTTCTTTCAGGCACAAAGCCGGGGCGTGCCACACATGTATGTGCACCTTACGTATGGTGCGGCGAGCCACCGTGGCAGTCGTGTTGTGCTGCAGCGTGAGAGCTCGTCCCATTCACCAGTCAAACCAGTCGGCGCCTTCAGTATCCGCCTGAATGCCATTTTCACGATCGGCAGTACGCACAACACGAGCTCGACGCTGAACGGCAGGCGATGCAACTCTGGCTGGATCATCCTCAGAAAATTCAGGTACGGGCTCACCTGGTATGTCTCGCTGGAGCAGGCACAGCAGCAGGCGCAGCAGGTGTAGCCGGAGGACCATAAGATGACGATGACGCCGAAGCGGAGGCGATCGGCACAACCCTGGCCACACGACCAGAGACTGCTGGTTCCACCTCCAGCGACGATGAGTCACCAGGTTCATCAGCCGTGGGATCATGATGGGAAGGTACCCGAGCACCAGCAGAGCGACCTGGGGCCACATGTGATCTAACTCCTCGTCGTACACCAAGTCTGCAAACGATAACAAAAAGAACACGACCATCGACTGCCGGTCTTCGTTCCACATACCTCCACCGACATCGCTCATCAGCCGCGCTGAGGGACCACCCCCTGCGCACCCCCTCTGGTGTAGTGAAAAGGCCGCGCCTGTCACGACCTGCGACCGTGGCACGGATGGAGGCCGCGCTGAAAGACAACCCTCTGCGAATCCCCCGTTGTGTCGACAAAGGGCCACTCCTGCCACGCCCTGCGAGCGTGTCACGGATAGAGGCCGCGCTGAGGGACTACCCCTTGCGCACCCCCTCTGGTGTCGAGGAAATCCCACGGCTTCCACGCTTTCTGACCCTGGCACCCGTAGAGCCATCCCCGAGGGACCACTGCTTTCCGACCCTGGTACACATAGAGGCCGCGCCGAGAGACTACCCCCTGCGCACCCCCCGATGGCGTCGAGACTCTGCAACGCCTCCCACGACATGCAAATCCTACGCGTTTGTTTTGTCGTCCGCGTGCCATGTGAGCGACTAGGTCTGCGTATGTGTGTCGTGTGTGTATGATGATGAGGATGATGATGCTGCTGATGATGATGAAGATGAATAGTATGATGAATCTGATGAAGATGATGATGTGTGTGTGTGCGTGTGTGTGTACGTGTGTGTGCGTGTGCGTGTGTGTGTGTGTGTGTGTGTGTGTGTGTCCGTGCGTGCGTGCGTGCGTGCGTGCGTGCGTGCGTGCGTGCGTGCGTGTGTGCGTGCGTGCGCGCGCGCGCGTGTGTGTGTGTGTGTGTGTGTGTGTGTGTGTGTGTGTGTGTGTGTGTGTGTGTGTGTGTGTGTGTGTGTGTGTGCGGCTGTATGTGGGCGCGTGCCTCATGTCAATACAGCGCATGTGTTGCATGATGTGTTGCATGCGTCTGGTGGGAGACGCGGGTGCGACGCGGGCGGGGTGCAAGACGGAGGAGAAGATGGAAAGGGGAGGAGGTGGGGCGGAGAGGGTGTGACTGAGGCACGCGGGTGCGACGCGGGTGGGAAGAACACCAGAACCCAGCTAAGCATGTGGGAAATCAAACACGCAGCAAAAACACGTTCGAAACTGATTGGACCTCCCCCGGCGGCGGCGGCTGGTGAACATCAGGAACTCCCCTTCGGCTGGTGAAGCAAGATGACGGCTGGAGCAGGCTGGGATCTGGTCGGGCGTTGCTGGAAGTGATCCTGGCCCAAGGTGCTCTCAGCTTTCCGCGCCACTTCGAGGTCTCTGGGGTCCTCTGGGGCTCGTGGGGGGGAGAGGTGCTCTGGAAGCCACCATCTTCGCCCCCCCTCGGGCAAGCCGGGGCCGCTTGGGAGGAGGAGGAGGAGGAGGAGGAGGAGGAGGAGGAGGAGGAGGAGGAGGAGGAGGAGGAGGAGGAGGAGGAGGAGAAGGAGGAGGCCGAACGGCCCGTGCCGCCCCTCGCGCCGGGCGCTGCGCCCGCGAGCCCCGCCGCGCACTCCGCGGCGGGGGCCGCGGCAGCGCCGCGGCCGCCGCCGAGGGGCGCGCTCGGCCGGCGGAGGCCCGCGGGAAACGCCGCTTTTTCTCTCCGCGGGCGGGCAGGCGCGCGTCACGAAGGGGCCGCCCAAACGGGGCCAGAGGATCACGGATCGAGGTCTTTCTTGGGACGGGAATGAGCGGGGGCGCGCGAACGTGGCCTCGCGATCCACGAATTCGGCGCGCGGTCGCCAGATCCATGGATCGGGGGGGTGCCCTCCCCAAAGTGCGGCCGGTGCCGCCTCTCTCGGCGGCGGAGATCTGCGATTTCCCACGGAAGCGGGGCCCGTCGCTAATCCACGCCCCATTGATCCCTGTTCGCGATCGCCTGAGATGATGGACAGCACGGCTGGAAAGCTCTATGATCACAGTACCTCATCCTATCCTCCGCCAAGGGTTACTCCTTCCTCCTGCTCCTTCCTACCTCTTGCTGTTCTCTGGGACTCTCATTGCGTAACCAGTTGCCTCTTCTCGCGCCAAGTGCAAGGGGCACGCGGCCAGGTCCAGGCCTCATCCCAACGCGCACCCTGCCACGCCTGGACACTAGGCGGAGGGGCACACCGAACTCTTTCCACGACGCGCGAGTCCAGCACGCGCAGAGGCGCGCTGCCTCCCCGCCCTGGGGGGGCGCAGCGCGCGAGCAAGGTTGCCGAGTGGGCGCGAGGAAGGTTGACGCGGAGCCAGATGGCTGCAGAGTAGGAAGGAGAGGCACCTCGCACCCCGCGCGAAATCCAAACGTTCCACGTGAGGAACGAAATTCTCCGAGAAAGGTTGACGCTGAGCCAGATGGCTGCAGAGTAGGAAGGAGAGGCACCTCGCACCCCGCGCGAAAGCCAAACGTTCCGCGTGGGGAACGAGCGCCACCACATCGCACTGCTGAGAAGCAAGGGCGAAGGGGGAACCGCAACTTGATCCATGGCACGCGAGAGCTCAGCACGCGCGCGCACGCGCCGACTCCCCTTTGGACGCCCGAAATGGGTACGGAAGGAATGGGTACAATGCCCCACAACACATGTTGTCCCAAACCAACAGCGGCCACTGTTGGGCAAGCGGCCTTCTGTTTCAAATGGACACAGGCCGCGGCGGCGCGGACAGCGAGTCCTGTTCAAAATGAACAAGAACTGCTGTTGGGCATCATACCCATTCTTTCCGCGCCCATTCCGTTCGTGCCGATCGCCGCCGCGCTGCTCGGTCCCTCGCA